TGATATTTGATCTAGTATTTTGTTTCAGCTTAAATGAACTAAAGAAACAAATTCAATGTAACACTAAATTAATGCTAAACCATTTGGCCTGCTTGCTTGAAAGTGTATTAGCATCACATGCTGAAACCCAAAAGCAGAGTGGGGTACAAATATAATTTTCTAGAACTTTGAGACAGGGCATCAGGGTCCTGGATAGTTCAATGTCTAACAAATTAAGAATAACTTATACAAAAGATAAAATTTGTGCATAATTAAGAGAAACATGTGCAAGTAACCCAATTTGCTTCATCCATATGTTATAAGTTTTAGTTGTCTGGAGTTTGGGCACAGACATCTAAACATTTTAGTCAGACACAAATATGGGCCTTCCCTACTCAAACCTTTTTATGGATGCTTCTAGAATAGGTGTGGTCACTTTCTAAGGTTTAGGGGTCATTTCTGTCCTTCCCTCACACTCTGGAAGGCTGCATAGCTCCTTTGATCATCCCACCGTCCAAAAGCACCCCAAAACACCTCTGAGCTGTTATCATGTCATTGCTCTGTCTCAAGTACAGAAAGATGATGGGCAAAACCAGCAGCCTTATAATGTGACATCTTACTTGGCATGTTCAGTTTTAACAGCTTCACATTGCATACGTTCTGTAAAATTTTGAAATATTTTAAATATCACAGAACAATTAAGAGTTTTCCAACTTATCTTTTAAAATCTAAAATGTAGATGCTCAATTATCAGTTACTGTATGGCTGTTAAAGCTGGCTGGATAGCTCAGCAGTTTGGGTATCTGGCTGCGGAGCCAGTTGGGAGTTGGATCCCCCTCTGTGCCTCCAGAGGAAAGAGCCAGCTTGTGTGGCCTTGGGCAAGTTGCAGAGTCCCAAGATGCCCCAGAAGAATACACTTCTGAGTATGCTCTACCTAGAAAAGCCTGGTCCCCATCAGTCAGAATTGCCTTGATGTTACCTGATTATGATTCTATGGCTTTTGAATGAAAACAATCCAAACCAAACAGTAATTCCAAGAAATAAAACCTAGCATTGCGACACTTCTGAATCTGGCTGGTTTTTAATTTTCTGTTACATGGTGGGCACTTGATGGCAATGCAGAATTTACCAGATACTTTATACTAACATTAATAAAGCAAGATAGGAAAGAGGCTGATTGAAAGTATACAGAGGTGCAAATGACTGGAGCTCATATTTCAGTCATAAAACTCTAGGGCAGTTGTCTTCAACTCTTTGAGATTCTCAATGACTCTTCAACTCTCAGCAATCTGCAATGTGAAGACTGATTTTTATTTTGAACTGTAGATATCCAAGAGGAACATAGGAGCCTGCCTTTTATAGAGCCACATTTTTGGTCGACCTAGCTCAACCCATCTAGCAGCTCTCCATGGTTCAAAGGGGAATATTTCTGAGCCCTGATTACACATACCAAGTTGAGCCCTAAGACCTCTTTGTGCTTCACCACTGAAGAACAGTTCTTTCCCCTTTTCCCTATCATCTTTGCTCTGAGGAAAATAGTGTCTGTGTGCCTTATCATCCAAGCTTCCTGGATCCCCCCCTTTTTTTGCTACAAAATTACTTCCTCAAATAGTGTTAGTATGATTGGTGCAGCTCATCTAAAGTCAGAATCTGGTGCAACTGTGTGTCATCCCTGCCCCAGTTGAAGACAAATGCTCTAGTGAATATTTGTAATTGAAGGTGTGCAGCAGTACAGAGCAAAGCCCTAAATTTGGCGGCAGTTTTGATTTGGGGGCAAAAGATAGCTGGTTTTGTGTATAACACACTTTCTGAATGATTTAAATACTTTTTGCAGTGTTAGAAGAGATCATAGAACACATACCACCCCAAACCACAGTAGATTTCATGGTTTATGCTACAGTGTCCACAGTATTGTTCTGTAAAGGATTTCTCCAAAACTGAGTACAAGGCAGGTGTCAAAATGGTTGGAAATAAGGCCAGAAACAGTTTGGTTCATTCTGATCAATAAACAGACATTTTGTTCCTCTCGTCTCCAAATTTTCACGGTTTCAATCAGACACCTTCACAGGTTGTGTGTATACTGAACAGCAGATTCACAACAATGAAGCTTCCGTTAGTTCATTCAAGTCTGTTAATTTAAAGTAGTTCTTGATAAAGGGCTGGCTGTAAGAAGAAAATATTCATCCAATGGCATAAATATACAAATTAACATAATGTACAAGCAATTCCAAAGCAGCTTCCCAAACAAATGAACAAACAAAAACCTTGGAAACCTCTACTGATCTGAGCAATGATTTATAACAATTAAGGATGCCACATACTGGATAATGAATCAATATTTGTCTGCCATATAAATATGGTAGCCACCTATAATTAGTCATACAGAAGAACGATCATTCGCTTGCTAAGAGAACATAGATTAAGCACAAGAAGTTCCAGGTGAATTGAACAAAAGTTCTATCCTGCTGTGCACTGAAAAAGTACTGTCTGGAATACAGACATTCTTTAACATGTGTTTCTGTTGTAACTAATTGGCAAAGCTTATGTTTATTATTCCAGCATAAAATTGTGGCATCCCTAGTTATGTTCAGTCAATAGAAATACCAGTTGTCTGCTGACAATGTACAGAACTTTCATCCACTAGACAATCGTAACTAAATGTGACATGCAACTCCATACAACCCTGAAACAAGCTAAATAGAAAACATCCCAGAAAAATAATAATGCCAAAAAAAACTACTGGGTAAGCAGATTTCTGTAGTTACCAACATAAATCACTTAAACACACACCCACACTCAAAATATTGCACAAAATCCAGTGCCTTTTGTTGAAGTTCAGCACTTTTCCTCTGATCCTAGTAGTTTGCCTACTGTGACGCGGAAGGGGGTGGTGAAGGTATCAATGTTTAAACTTTTACATTTCCATTTGCATGTTCTGCATGTGTCCTCAGCTCCACCCACCAAACCACATTAATACTGATATTAGATTCAGAATGAGAAAAGTTAATGGTCTCATATAAGGTCATCTATGGTGGGCAATAAGGTAGAACTCACAGCTGCACTGACTTCATCACAGTAATGCCAGATCAGCCTACAATCCTGTTGCCCTACCGAACTGTGTAAGGGCAACCGTGCAAGTGACATGATTTGTTTCTTGGACTATCTTTGGCATGCCTGTTATTCCCCTGATTATGCAACTGATTGTGCAACCAGGCATGCTGTGGACAGTCCAAAAAGCATGCCCACAAATGCCCTTATGGTATGTCTGTAGAAAAAAAAATAGATTTTGTCCTAAGACAAAATCTCTCACTATGCTAATCATTAGATAGACCTTTTGGTTAAGAGCAATTTCCATTGCTTACGGGTATGGTCTATATTACAGCTGTTCCTATGTTTTTAAAAAATCCTACAGCACAGCACTTCAAACAACTTGGAAAAGAGAAGAGAAGATTATATAGGTGAATACCTTTTCTTACCTATAAATGGATTGTTTACAGAGAGGTGGCTCTGACAGAAGGGAGGTGAGATGGTCACCTTGGAAGCACGTGGGGTGCCATTAAGAGCAACACGGAGAAGATTGATAGATCAGACTCTTGGGGAGGGACAGTCTGCATAAGCTACTAGGACATTCTGTGTAAAGAATGGGAATGACACACAGGTACGAGATCCCTGTAGACAATGTCCTCAGATCTATGCAGAGCTTGAGGAGGGAATACCATTTGGATTTTCCACCATAGGTAGCAAACATCCTAGGCTCCTCTAGAGCCCAATTCACCTAACAAGTCTTAAGACCATGACAGACATGGTTCCTGCCATAGGTTTTAAGTGCAAAGAGGTATAGATCCTAACCCAGAGGTAGAGACTGGAAATGTTACATTTTTCCATTAATGTCCTTGGAATCTCCCAGTCAGCAGGCTGTGAAATTTTGTGAGTTGCTTTCCCAACAAGTAACTTTTCCAAGCTCTGATCAGAAGTCTACTAAAGAAGACAGCTACCAAAGACTACTGAAGTCTATAGATAAGATGATAATAATATCAGCACTTCAAAAATTCCTCCAGTCCAAAATCTAGCATTTTTTTTAAAAAAAATCTCTTCTTTTCCTGTACACCAGATTAAGGACCTTAGCCTGGTAGTGGTCATTTTTGGCACTGAAACTAGTAGACATGTTTGTTGTTGTGTAGCTACCGAGCCCCCCCCCCCCCAAATTTGAAGAGCTAGCAGAGGGAACAGTCAAATGTACTGACTCTTGATGCATCATTTCAGAATTAATATCTAGCTCTTGGCCTTTCCCCCTGGCTACAGATGAGGAAGAAAAAAAAATCTGTTCCACAACTGATCATCCTCTTAACACTAAATTGCAATTTGCACTCTTGGTAACACTAAGAGCAACACAATCTGAAGAAAGGCATATAATAAATATATATTTTAAATGTAGCTCAGCAGGATCCCAGATGCTCTCTGCTGAAATGGATGAAAATATGACTTGTTAATTACAGAGGTGAATAACACATTTTCCCACAAGTGGCTTCAACTAGGCAACTATAACTAGCTACTACTTTTCATTCCTTGCACAATACAATCTATCTAAAAACTTACTTTTAACCCTAGCCTTACAACTAATGTAGGGACACAATGTTTTTTTTTTAATGGTGTTTATTGCATGATCTAATCTGTTCAATGTTTATTTAAGAACCATCTGCCAGAAAGGTCTCCTGTGAAAATTCTCCCCACTGGAAAAGAAATCATTGTTAACAGGTTTAGTGCAGGAGAATTTCTTGGTGGAATGACACCTTTCTCTGGTCTAACAGTGAAAATTAAGATTGTTTAAAGGTGCTCATCAGTGAAGACAGTGCATTCAATCACTTGGAAAACTATTGTTGACATATTTGAGAGCAGAGTTAGCCAGTACTGACAGCTTTTGATAACCCAACTCTTAACAATCAAAAAGCAGCAATATCACTCTCTGAAATGTTAGGGAACATTAAAAGTTTCAGTTTTGTTGTGTGTGTGGGTTTTTTTTTAAAAAAACTTTCACTATTTCTAACAGTACACAATTCACAAAAATGGGTCTTGTTACAGGAATTCCATTTCTTTATGCAAAGTTAATGATATGTGTTGTATGTTTTATTCAGGTCATTCTCCATGCATGGACATACAGATATGATCTGCTAATTTAAGCATCTTTCCTTTCTTACACCTGACAAGGTCCCTTTTGCAGCATTTGGGCCCAAGGGTCAGAAAGGAGATGGCAGGGCAAATAATCTTTTAGATGCATCAGCTACTCTAAGCTAAAACAGTCACTGCTGCAGAACTGCTTTCTTCATTCCTGGAATATACATTTCCAAGGTTGTCAAGGAAAGCCCTAAATGGATGGATTTCCTTTCAGGCCACATAGTAGGAAATCCAAGATGCTATCTGATGCTTTCAGTTTTGGGGATTTATGACAAGGGAATAAAGGATTTCCTTTACCACATAGTTGAAGAACATTATGATGGTGTCCAAAAAGGTACAGAAACCTGGTAAATTTGTACTACCAAAGGTAAATGTAAAAAATCGGTTCGTATTTCTGTGTGATTAGGCTAAAACACCAGTAGTTCTAAATGAATTGTCCCTAATAGCCTCCAATAAATAGGCTAAATTTGGGAGAATAAAGGAATCTGATGACCCAAAGCATTTGTAATTTACTGAGGTTCCTGAGAATTTTTTTTAACCTGAAGCCTCTCATCACCAAATTAAAATGGTGATTTTAGAAGGTCCTAAGAACAATGACAGCAAGGCTGGTAAAAGCCAATAATGAACTGTTATTTCAACTACAGTAATTATCAAACTGCTACAGACGTGGCCTATGGAGAGGGGTTTTTTTTAACTATAAAAAGTAGAGACCAGAGAAGGTGGCTGGTGAAAGGTTTGAGAAACTGCTACTCTGGCCCCTTTTACACACTGAATGCTTCACTTGTGTATAAGAAAGAGAGCTGGCAATTAAATGTGGCAAACGTGTAAGGCACAACTATTAGATTTCTAAAAGTGTGTTTTTCTGATGTGTGCTGAGTGATTAGTTTATGCGAGTTGACCAGTCCCAACAAACTCACACGTTTGATAAGATACAAAATGAGGTTGCATCCCAAAGGTTCATCGAAGACTCAATGTTATGCATATTGCTGTAAGAATTATATTACAATGAGATTTGAATGTAGCATCACAATCCTAACTATGTGAGTTATGGGAAACCTGCAGACTTCAATAGCTCTCATCTCTTAATTTCCTTGCATCCCACTTTCCATCTCCTCCTTAGCTTGACTCATAAACCATCCATGCTCATTTATGAGAAAAATCCCTTTGCGGCTCCACCTGGAAATCTTTATCTGCATAGTTTTTCATGGTAAAAGTCAGAATGGGAAATCCTTCTGTGCCTGGGGTTCCAGAACATGCCTCTTGTTGACACTGCTACAAAGAGACTTGATTTATGTTTACCAGGACATTACTTCCTTTATCAAAGTAATCTAGATCATTTGTATGGTAAGGATTTCCTAATATGAAATGGCAAACCTATAGACGGAGTTCAAGACAGTAGCACAGTATGAGGAAGAAGAAACTTACATCTGAGCACATGGGTTTGGATGTGAAACACTTCTACAGGTTTTCACACAGAATTTTTTCTATATAGCACCTGAAAGTCTACCAGCAACTCTACATTCAAAGTTTCCCAAAATGTTTAATTTACTGGCAAATTTGAGAGGACTTTTCTACATTTTATATATCTGTGCATCAAAGGTGTACCCTTGATATTTTCACAAGACAAGTTCTAAAGTTGTCATTTGTGGTGCAACCTGCAATGAACTGGAAGTCAATGAGTGATTTGATGCCTTTGCTCAGCGTCAGAGACCTAACACTGAGAAGGCTGGCATATTTGTGTTGTTGAGCAGCAGGTATTATTTTTCTTTTAGAAAGGAAGCTTTGAATTTGGTCAAACAGCACATCTGACAACAATCCAATTGCTTAACACCACTACCTAAAGTCAGTCGTATAGGTTAAAAAAACAACAACAACAACAGAGCAAATCAATTTTAACATAGAAAAACTTAAATGCACTAAAATTCCATGCCAGTAAAAACCCAACTGTTTTACTCAGAGTTCTTACTTTCATGAAAATGAAAGATGCAAAATGTTGACAGGCACACATTTCACACTGCATTTAAGGACTCCAATATATATATAAAAATATACAGTACCAATCTGTATCATCTGGAAGACAGGGCCAGGTTGCCAGCTAGTTAAAAAATAATAATCAAACCACAGCTTCTTTCAGGGTGAATTCAGAAAAGAACAATTAACAGCTCATTCATGTGATGATTAATTCGCCATGGGAGCTCTCCTCTATTACTTGGCTATATGACAATTGTTATCCTCTAGAAAGATAATATGTGGAGGAGACACCCATCTAAACGAGACTCTCATGGGATAACCAAAATCAGTATATAAAACACAGTCACTTGGCCAGTGGTCATAAGAGTTCCAGCAGTTCTGGAAATTGTCCACATTTCTCTTGGCTTAAGCACTTCATTACTATGAAATAATGGCATCACTTTTCCAAATATTTATATTTCATCCTTTAGAATATTTGAATATATTCATATAACTTTAAGGCAATTAGTTCATCGATTAAGATGATTTATGAGTGCCAGAAAAATAACACTGCAGTTGTTCATGTCATATTAAGTAGAATGGTGCCTATCCCTGGAAATGCTGTTCTTTATGCATGGGGGACAGGAAACAGTAAAAATTAGCAAATACCATACACCAGCTTCAGCTTAAACATGGAGTCAGACTGAGTACCTTGATACCCAAATGCATTTGCTGAACATACAAGCTGCCTCAAACCATATCGGATTATCTAGCCTAGCATTCTGTGCATGGTCAGGCAGAGTCTCCCCTCTATTTCACACAAGGGTTCTTTCTAGATCTGCCTGGAGATACGAGTACGTAGGTCTAGAACATCTGCTTGCAAAACATGCAACCTAAACACTGAGCTACAGACCTATCCACAATTCTAGGCCCATATTGTGAACTCAAATGTAGTAAAGAAATGTAAGATGAGATACATTCAAAATAAAAGTGAGAATATGCATATGGATGACAAATCACACTTCAAAGGTTAGTGAAACTGAAGATCTGTCAATTCCTCTGTGATCTTTTGGTTCGTTTTGTGATATGGAATCCTGAGTTGTCTTCCTTCAGCCTTTGTCAGGAGTGCAATTTCCTTCTTCCAGTATGTTTAACTTAAAAAAAAACCTTATGCTTTACTTCCCCCATTGTTAGAAAACTTGTCCCCTGAAATGTTTAGACCGTACTTGAAATCAGAAGTCATGTTACACAATGATACCACTTCCTGAAGAAGCCCACCCTCCTCTAGAATTCTGGTTCCTTTTCTCTCTTCTTTCTCCCAAGGAACCAAAATTGATGAATTTTGGCTCAAGTTTGATGAAATCTCTTCCACTGAGGTATTGCTTACGGCTTTGTTCCATTTTGTCTTTACTTGGAAAGCTCCTGGAGAACATAATTGCATCGTTTCTTGAGATGAGTTTGGAGATTTTGAGTGAGTTTTAAGGAAGCCCTCATTGTCAGCAGTTGGGAGAGCAGCAGGATTTTCCTTATTTAGCCCAAAGTGGCATTCTCCATGGCTTGTAGAAAGAACATGTTTCCTTGGTGATAGAGGAAGCTGCTTCCCACTAAGGATGCTGTCATCGTGCCCAAGATTCCAGTCAGATGGTTCAGAAGTCCGACTAGTGCAAAGCAAAGCAAGATTGCTCTCACTCGGTGTGTTGGACTTATTCTGAAATTTAAATACATATATATATATCACATAAGACTTTTTTACACTGGCTTATAATAAATGGACACTTTGATTATGGGATCAAAGCAAACTACAGGTATTAAACAAGCATAAATTATAACAAACAGCTGCATGAATTAATTGTTCTTTATTCTATTGTCTGTGGGTTAACTGCAAGGCAAGTGATCCTTGGGCCACAAATTCTTATTGTGAATAGGATTCAATTTTTGATTCTGTCTCTTCCCACAGTAAGTTCAATCTATGGGTAATCCAATTTCAAGGTTAAGAGGAGAGATGCCAGTCAGTGCTTCTCACCTGTGTTTCCTATGTATTAAAATTCAGGGCCACATTCACTCTTAGACACAATTGTTGAAATCCTGTTGCTTAGTGTAGTAAGTGGCACTAGGGTAGGTCCCTTGAATCAGTGAGGAACTAGTGAGTTAACTTTAACTTCCATTGATTCAAAGGGGCCCATTCGAGCATTTTCAGTTGTAGTTAGAGCAGGTCCATTTGAATCAAAGGAGGTGACTCACCAAATCCACACAGATTCTGGGCACATTCCAATGCAATTTACCAGGCTAATCAACGGGACTTCAGCCAATGTTTTGGTCTAGCAGGAGCCTTATATTAATACATCCATTATGGTATATGAGCACACCTCTCCTGAGTCCTACTCTGGGAATGACTTCCAAAATAAGGGGTTATTTTATGTACTAGGGATTCTAATCCAGCCAAGCTCCCAGGAATGGAAGTGTGGGTTCTTCCTTCCCCCTGGCAGGTCCCCATATGAGGAGGAAGAATTTTCCCCTTCCCTCATGCTGTCCTGGAGACTCCCATCCCCTGAGCAGAATTTCAGGGAGAAAGGAAGTCCTCCTCTTTTCTTAGCAAGGTTTGGGAGCTTGCATTCTCAAACTGGGCCCCAAAAACGAGCAACTGTAGTTTGTGGATTTGGCTTGGGTATAAAGCAGTAGCGTAGTAGTAGGGAATGTTTGGCCTTTCAGATGTTTTTGGACTCAAGCCCCTATCAGGCTAACCAGCAATGCCAGTGGAGAGAGATGGTGTAATATGCAGGCCAACAATATTTAGACAACCATCAATTCCCCATCTTTGATGCAAAAAGTAACAAAGCTCAATATCAAACTTTTTTCTCACACTTTGAAAAACCACACCATTTGTATTACAGACTTCCTTCATTCTTACTGCCCCCCACCCCAACCTCAGAACATTTTCCTCATCAGTGTGAAAGGATTAGAACTGCAGAGTGCAAGAGGATTTGGGCAGAATTCAGAGAATGACTTCCTGGTCATTAGTGAGCTTCAGCGCTCTTCTACATGAAACTACTGGGAGAAATGGTTTGAGAAGAAGACTTTTCTATATTCCCAGCCTCATCAGCCTTAATTTGTAGTGTTTTTAAATTCTGTGCACAAATGTTATCTCCTGTTCTTGGCCTTCAGTTGTTGCTTGGTTTAATCTGTTTTACATTTCACACTTGTGTTTTAATTTTTTATGATTTTAAAGTTGCTACTACAAACCGCTCAGAGAATTGGGCAGCACATAAATACTGTAAGCAACTCGTAGGTAAGTTTCAAGAGATGGAAAGGCTATTTAATTATGTCACATCTTTAATTTAATCTCTGCTCCTTCCCCCCTTGAAACTCAGATCTCTGTAGGATTACAGAGTTGCAGAGTACAATGGATAAATTGAACTAATTTGAGGAATTATGTGACAGAAGATCAACTGCTCGTATTCCTTTAATATTACCATATTTTAATATGCTTCTCTTAGAAAAGGTGTTTGATATGTCTCTGCATTTTCATTGGTCTTTTTAATATTCCATGTTGTTGCCCACAACTGATTGTAGTACAAATGATAGACGTTTTCTTCCTTTAGATGGGAGGAATATGTGGCAACCATACAAATGTTATGATGTATTTGTGACCACATATTGTCCCTTCTTCAGCAGAAGTCCTAGTATCAAAGCAAATTATTATATAGATCAACCTTCCCAAGCTGGTGCCCTTCAGATGTGCTGGACTAGCTTGCAAGGCCATCCTGAAGGCCAACATATAGGGAGGTCAGCAGATTAGGGAAGGTTGGTGTAAAAATGGTTTAGGATCTCAATGCCTGTTGGAACATCTCTCCTGCAAAATAATTACCTGTCCCACTTGCTCTTTGCAGTCCTTGATGTCTCACTTAAAGAGAGCAAAACAGCTAATACTAGGAACCATGGTTTCTTGGTCATGGTTCCTTCCCTTTGGCATAAGCTTCCTATAGAGGTTCCTCAGGTGCTATTCCTTTCAGTTTTCAGGAAGTCAATTAAAACTGAATGGTCTGGGATGTTTGCATTTGTGTTTAAATTTGTTTAATTTATTTAAATGCAGCTTTTATTGATTCAGTTAGAGACAGGAATTTATTGTATTTCTTGCATTTTGTGTGTTTGTTTCTTTGATTGTACTTACGTTTTAATGCATTGTGAACAGAGAATGTTTGCACTGATGGGGTGGTACAGAAGTTAAAATCAGAGAGAGAGAGAATGAGAGAGAGAGAGAGAACGAGAGAGAGAGAGAGGTGTCTTGACAATTAAGGTGGTGGGTGAAGTAACAGACCTTCATCTTATAATCAATGTCATCCATTGATCGAAAAAAGTCCAAGCTCTTTGCTCCTGAGAGTTTCCCTTGATCAGAACTGTGTGTACTCAAAGTATCCAATATTTCTCCCAGCAGATCCATTTCTCCAGGGGGAAGAGGTGTTTTGGCCATTTCCCCAGAGTCATCACTGTCATACAGATAATAAGATGCTTCCTCGCTGTCTTCAGATGACAATCTGAAAATACAGAGATTTTAATGGCAGTGACCAGTTTGGAAATGAATAATACACACACTACACTTGATCTTTGCCGAAAGGCCGAGAAGCAATAAGACTTTTATTATATTCTTATATAACACATTACTATTTATTACACCTGGATTGTTTGATTGATAGTGAGATAGATAGATTATTAATATATAAATAAAATTTGACAAGATGAATTACTACTTCAACCTTTGTATTCATTACTAGTTTGGTATAACTTTCTAAAACTTTTGAATTCTTGGATACTAGATCAATATTATATCTTAATGACACCTATTTGAAAAACAAATATATATTAGATTAAGCTCTGTTTGGCTGCAAATGGAAATAGCGTTCGTATTGTGCTTTTGTCCACATTAGTGAGACATGGCAAGCTGGAAAATTCTCAACAGCCTGCAATGAAAAGAATGCTCCCTCTTGTCCTTTGCATAAGATCCAAGACTAGGGAATGGCTTATTATTACAGCAGAAACAAAGTACACTTATAATGCATCTTGACAATGCCTCGATGTATAGTCTTTTTGAATGTGAAAATTTCACTTTGGAAAAGGACAGGCCCAGAATCAGCTCTTTTTAAACTTGGTGCCTGAAAATACTGCTTGAGGTACTTCTTAAAGGTCTGAAAGGAGGAACTACATTAATATAATGTAGTTTTCATTAGACATTTTCTTATGAATGACATCTCTGGTCTGTTTTTATATTTAAAAAGTGATAACAGTTTTGAAAAAGGATTTAAAACAATAGCCAAAATGCTACTAATTATACCAGTTGGCATAATGCGATTACCATAAACCTTGGTTGCCAGCCATGGCAAGTTAAGAAGTCAGAATAGGCATTTGATGTTGCATGCCAAGTCATGCAACAGCAAATGCCTACACTGACTTTTCAACTTGAGACCATTTGCTGCCAAGATTTATGCCAATTGTGTTATGCAGATGAAAAAAATGCAGCTTGAATTTGAGCACCACTTTCAAAATGTATAATAGCTAAAACACCTCTTTCTGGAGGCTCAATTCATTCTTATGGATGAAACCTTTGATTTAAGGGTTCAAGTATCAATGATCCAGTTTAAGAAAAGCCAACACCCTTCATTTCTTTCAGAGTCACAAACCCACAAAATTGCCATCTCACCAGGGACTCATGCAGAGATACAACAGAGAGCTTCATTCAAAAGTGATCAGCTCTGCTGCACCTCTCCATTAGAAACAGCTTACGGTACAATTCTATACACACTTGCTCAGCAGTGTGCCACCATTCCAAAGTACATGGTTGGGACTTGTGTCCAAAGTAATGGTATACAGGAATGCATTCTGTGGACGTCTCTCCACTGGGCAGATACTCGGCACTAACATGAATGATTTCATTTGTTTTTATGGCATACTGGCCAGAATCCTATTGGTTAGTTATGCTGGTCTAAGTGACATGAATTGCAGCTGTGGATTGCTGCTAGTTAACAAGCTGCTTACCTTACTTGTCATACATCTCTCATGTGACTGACATACAGGAAAGGATACAAGGGGCAACTTGTTAAGTAGAGGCAATTTGTTCATACCATTTACTGCCATTGAAATATCACCAGCTTAAGCCAATAAGATTCTGGCCAACAGCAGGTACAGTATTTTGATATATGATGTGCTGCCCCTACTATAATGTTTGAAATTAATGATCTGTTCCTGCATCTCTTTTTTATAGTTTCAGCTCATCTAGATAAAATACATTATTTTTCTTCTTTTGTATTGGCTGAATTCTTGTTGCTTAGTGTAACAGGTTGCACTAGAGTAGGCCCTCTGAGTCAACAAGGAATTTGTGAGTCAATTCTTCTGTAAGTTTCATTGATTCAAATGGGTCTACTACAGTTACAAATTATTTTAATGTAGTAAGTAAAAAACAGAGTAGGCCCATTTGAATCAATGGAACTGTTGACTACTGATTCAATGATCATTCGATCATTCATTCATTCATTCATTCATTCATTCATTCATTCATTCATTCATTCATTTGATATCTATACCGCCCATCTGGCAGCCAAGGCCACTCAGGGTGATTTACAACAAATAACAAAAAACATCGGAGTAACAAAATAGTTACAACAAATAACAAAAAACAACGGAGTAACAAAATAGCAAATAGCAACATCAATACATACGGGTAAAAATTAAAAATCATAAAGTGAAGTAAAATTATAATACAATAAATATAATTAAAAGCGTAGAAAAATATAAGCATGGAGCATGGCAGTATGGTAGAAATTATATTATTGGACACTATTGTATCAGCGTATAGTCTGTTCAGGGAAGGCCTGTCTAAATAGCCAGGTTTTGAGTCGCTTTTTGAACATGTCCAGTGAAGGGGCCAGGGGGACTTTGGGCAGAAGAGAGTTCCATAATTGTGGCACTCCTGCTGAGAAGGCCCGATTTCTAGTGGTTGTTTTCAGGACCTCTCTCAGGGTCAGAACTCTCAGCAACCTTGCCTGTGACTATCTTATAGGACAGGCAGACCTAACTGGAAGCAGGCACTTGGCCAGATATTGAGGTCTGAAACCCTTTAGGGCCTTATAGGTTAGCACCATCATCTTGAAACTGGCACGGAAGTGAACAGGTAGCCAGTGTAAGGCAACCAGGGTGGGGGAAGATATCTTGGTATTTTCTAACCCCATTCAGAAGTCTGGCTGCCAAATTCTGGACCCATTGAGTCTCCATAGCAGTCTGAATGGCAGCCCCACGTAGAGGGTGTTACAGTAGTCTAACCTTGAGATTACCAGTGCATGAACCAGTGTAGTGAAGGACCAGGAGTCAAAGTAGGGACATAACTGGGTGATCCGCTTTAGGTGGAAATAAGCAGATCAGACACAAACGCTATCTGAGACGTCACTGATAGCGATGGGTCTAAAAGCACACCCAAGTTACAAAACTCATCCTTCATGAAAAGAGTGCCTCCCCAAAGATAGAGAGGCACTCAGGCCACAGACACTAGGAGCCCTCCACCCGCAGGATATCCATCTTGTGCAGGTTCAGCATCAGTCTGTTGTTCCTCATCCATCCCAGCACCACATCCAGGCAGCGCTCAAGGGACGGGACAGCATCCACTGTAGAAGGATGGAAGGAGAGACAGAGCTGAGTGTCATCCACGTATTTGTGACACAAAGCTCCAAAACTCCTGATGACCTCCCCCAGTGTCCTCATATAGATATTAAATAGCATTGGGGAGATGACTGACTCTTGCGGGACTCCACAATTGAGAGTCCACGGAGTGGACAATATCTCCCCAAGCTAAACTCGCTGAAGATAGTCCTCCAGGATATCATTCATCCACTAGAGCTCTGACAGGAGCTCCACCAAGATCAGCCAGCATCCCCCACATTGCATCTTGGAAACCTACAGGATCCAAAAGCCTGTGGGGGTGGACCATTTTAATGGGTCCCTGCTTCCCGTGAGGGGGGCAGCGCCACTGCGAGGTTACATTCTATTAGGTAGTGATCCGACCATGACAAGGGGACCAATACCAAATCAGTCACCATCAGTCCACTCTCTCCCTGACCTGTCGAGAATACCAGGTCTAATGTGTGACCCGCCACGTTGGTGGGACCATTGACAAACTGGGACATGTTCAAGGAAGCCATGGTTTCCAAGAACTCAAGATCTGGGCCTGTGGCCCCAACCTCAGCATGGATATTGAAGTCACCCAGGACAATTAGTCTGGGGGACCTCAGTGCCACCACCGAGATTGAGTCCGCCAGCTCCAGAAAGGAGAGTGCTGGGTCGCAGGGAGCACGGTAAACCAACACCATCCCCATTCCATCCCTGGTCCCCACTGACATGTGAAAAGACTCAAGGCCTGGGAAGCTCAAGGCAGAGAGCCTAACAACCTCTAAATAATGGCAACTCCCCCTCCTCGACCCTCCAGTTTGCCTTGCTGCTGGACGGAATATCTGGTTGGGCAAATTAATGAGAGGGCTACATCAGCCTCTGCGCCCACCCAGGTTTCAGTAATACAGGCCAGATCTGCTATTTCATCCAAGATCAAGTCTCGGATTAACTGGACCTTATTTAAAGCAGATCTGGCATTTAACAGCATCAAGGATAGAGTGGAGGGTTGGCTGAGCAAGTTATCTTGATTCTGGTCACTGGCAACAGAGCAAGAACAAGGGACAGCCTTCAACCATCTGGCCCCAGTTCTTTGGGGTTTAATTGCTGCTGCACCAGTGCCATACCTTTCTCTGCCCATAAATGGTATATTATTCATTTTCCCTTCACTGGGTGACCTGGGATGTTGTGTCATAAAGTGTAAATGCTCTGTAATAAAGTGCAAAGAAGGTTAAAGAGTGGTGCAGATAAACTGCAATAGTAGTATGCACTAAAATAATTTGTCAATGGATTAATTAAGCTGTAATTAATAATTGTGCAGTAGAATAATTGATCAATAATAATTTCAAAAGGTTAATAAGGATAATTTCATCATTAAAGATACAATTCTACTTTAGGTAATTTAGATTTAGATTTAAAGCCAGATTCTAACCCCCACCCCTTATAGCAATACTAGAGCACAAAACTGATGGAATTCTAATAGGATGTCCGTGGGGATAAATTAGATTTAGATGTTATTAGTGGGAGTAGATTCCACTCTAGTTCAACTTTCCATGCTGGCAACAGGATTTCACCATATGCTAACTCATGCTGCAGTTTTTGAAATTACTTCCTCCATTTTTAATAGGCTGCATAGCTTCCAATTTCTTTCTTTCTCAAATTTTTATTTATTTATTTGTTTGTTTGTTTGTTTGTTTGTTTGTTTATTTAATTACTTGTTTGTTTGTTTTATTTATAAGCCACCTTTCTCCTGTTGAGGGGACTCAGTAGTAATTTTACTACTAAGCCTAGTATTTTCTATTAGCACTTGATTCTGCTTCTTCCCCAAATCAAGACAACACTCAGAAATCTCCTATCTGATTTATGCTGAACATTGGGTAGGTTTCTCTGACCCCAATTCCCCTTATCGGATGATAGATTTCTCTCCTTGCTATTTGTCTTGAAATTATAACTCCTCCAATGAAGAGCTGGATGTTCTTAGAACCTAGTATGTTTTTTAATGTTAACTTACTTGCTTCCTCTGTCCATTTCATCATCAGCATCTTCATCCAAGGCAGAATCATGATTATGCATGTTGGTGTGAAGATATCCAAATCGTTTCTGCAAAGGGAAATTTACACTTTAAGATTTTGTTCTCTTTTTCTGGGCTGGGGGTGGGTGCAGCACAGTTTTCTTGTAGTCTGTCAAACAATCCTGCAAAATTCATAAGTTCATAGTGATTCCAATCAGAGTGTCCAGAGTTAGAAAAGTGTTTTAATCTAACATTCAAACAGCCAAACATTTGGGCCAAATAAGGAGTAGTTAGGTGCTGTCAAGTTGCATTCAGCTTACAGTGCCCCTAACATGCATTTTCAAGGTATGAGATATATTTAAGATGTGGTTTTGGCATGTTTACCCATTAGTGAGTTTATCCTTTCTAACCATGCTTTAAAGGTAATGCATTCTAAGCATGAGTAAAAAGCGGAAATTTTGTAAAAGTTTCACATTATATGTGCTTTGTGATGGTGAACAACCTAAAGATCACAACACTAAGATGCTCAATGTACCAAAAAGTAACTATATTTATTTGCATATGTAGAGGTGGTATTATGTGTAGAAAGTTATGGATCCATCCATCCACATCCACCACTCTACTGTTGCTTTTTACTGCTCAATATTTATTTAGTCATCCATCCATCCATCCATCCATCAACCCACCCACCAACCTGCTTTCTTACTAAAAATATTTGTATCTTATCTCTGCATTTTACTTTCCTCAAATTCACAAAAGACATTATTTTGAGTTACTATATTGTTCTTCTCTCCCTGTACTTTTAAGCTTACCTAATAAACAAATGCAATTGCAAACTTCATTTTAAAGAAAATCTGGATGAATATTCTCTAACCAGAAAATAAGATCTCACGGGATTGCCGCGATGGTCCCTATAGTGATTTCGAAAAACAATGAACATTTGACTTGTAGATACGGTAGGGGAAAAATTATGAAAAGAAAATATGTTAAAACTTAGAAAATTCCACAATTCCACTACACAGCAGCAACCACTTCAGAATTTCACTTCTTTCAAACTATCCACAAAAAACTGGCCAGTTTTCTATGCATTTATAGCCTGTTTTATTATTTATCTATTTATTATTCATTTAAAATATTTCTGTCCTGCCTTTCTCATTAACATGGCCCAAGGGGGCTCACATAATTAAAAATACAATATTTAAAATCCAAAACCAGTAAGTATACAAATATTTAAAAAGAATTGAACAAGTACTATATTAAAGATGATAAATAAAATCAATACTAAAAACACATTTAAATGCAACTGAGCACAACAATCCATAAAAAAAACAACACCATACCCCTCTCAGAGCACCAGTCACTAAGGAAAAGCCTGAAGAGAAAGGTCTTAGCCTGCTTGCAGGAGGACAGCAAAGATGGGACCAGTCTTACCTCCTGTGGGAGAGAGTTCCAGACCCTGGGAGCAGTAACAGAGAAAGCCCTCTCTTGTGTCCCTACCAAGTACACCTGTGAGGGTGTTGGGACTGAAAGGAAGGCGTCTCATGATGATCTTGAAACGGACCAGCATATATCCCCGAAGGAAAATAAAGCAGATATCATCTATTCTAATTTGGGATGGTTAGGTCACCCATCTCCTACCATCTATTCTCCCTTATGGCTAGATATATGCTACAAAAATGCTGACTTTTCAAATTTTAGAGCTTTATTTACGAAGGATCATCTGTGCACAAAATCAGCAGAACATTAAAATGTTTTAACCTGGTCATCAGTCATGTAAAGTCCTTTCACTGAGAAAACAGATATCCTATCCAATCTCACAACAATGTTATGGAAAAGCCACTGTTGTTTCCACTTTCAATAGTGGGACTGGAGAGGATGAAACAATGTCTCTAGAACCAGCAAGGGCTTATCAAGATTACCTTTTGGAAGTATTGTGTGTCTGCCCCATTTGCAGAGTGGTCGGAAGACCAGATGGGTGGGGTATAAATCAAATAAATAAATAAATAAATAAATAAATAAATAAATAAATA